TAGTACTACTACTACTACTACTACTACTCCTGCTGCTACGACTTGTTGTCCTACTCCTACTTCTACTGCGACTGGCACTGGTACTACGACCACTACTACTATGTCTAGTACTACTACAACTACTATTGCTACTACTACTACTACTACTGCCACTACTACTACTACTACCACCACTACTACTACTACTACTACTACTACTGCTACTACTACTACTACTACTACTACTACTACTATTACTGCTACCACTACTACTACCACCACTACTACTACTACTACTACTACAACTACTACTACTACTACTACTACTACCATTACTACTACTACTACTACTGCTACTGCTGCTACTGCTGCTACTACTACGGCTACTCGTTTGACTTGTTTTCTCGCTACTGCAAATACTATGCTCACTATTACGATTACTAGTGCTACTACACCTACTCCCCAGCGACTTCGATTACTATTATTATTACAACTACTAAGCCAGTGCTACCAATACTTGCGAGGTCGTCCAAGCGATTGTGGCCAATGGTGGCAAAACGCGAGAGGTCGCCTGGCCCCGCGCGCAGCTCCAGCGTAGAGCTACACATGGACGTCACGGGGGCACCTAGGAGAGAACCCAGCAAGGCAACCAAGCAAGGAATTCAGCAAGGGGTCCCAGGAGGAACCCACGAAGAGGGCACAGGGGGGATCCAGCAATTGACCTAGCAAGAGACCCAGGGGGGGAACACACTGAGAGATGCAGGGTGGCCATTTCAGACAGACGGCATCGCAAACGGCGGTGCCCTTCCAACGCACCGTGGCCACCTGTGTAGATTTGCATTGCACCATGTGGGCTTTTTGGCGTTCAACATAATACTGCTGACTTGCAGCCATTGGCGTTTAGTGAGGATTACAGCTTCGTCCGATCTCTGTTGCATGGATTATATCCGTGGTCGTGTGGGCTCACAGTGTATTCTGACCAAACGCACCCTGCGTACACTGCGAATGTGGTTTCCAATGTTCGTTCTGGTAAGTGGACGTGCTGGGAGAACGGCCAGGACCTGTGGGTGTGCACGGGTGAGATGCTGTGGACTCTTTACTGATACTTAGCCGCATATTTACTTCACGTCGCTGCAAACGCACGTGGAGCCTTACGCGTGATGACAGTTGTGGAACATAAATGGCACAAGATAACATATGCGTTGCGGTAGTGAAGAAGCAATACGGTCGATCAAAGGGGGAGCTTCTTCATATACAGATATATGTAGATATCTGTGCACATCCGAATGCACATACACGCGCATGGGAGGCTTTTCCCTCATATATCCAGATATGTATACACAGACTGCACAACAGTATTGGCGCTTCGCGTCATGCACCTTGGTCCATCTTGGCCCTTCAAGTTCGCCGCGTGGGCGGAAACATGGGAGAGAAAGAGAGGAGAGAGAGGGAGGCGGAGAGAGAGAGAGAGAGAAACAGAGAGAGAGAGAGAGTGAGAGAGAGAGAAAGAGAGAGAGAGAGAGAGAGAGCGGGAGAGAGAGAGAGAGAACAAGAAAGAGAGAGAGAGAGAGAGAAAGAGAAATAGAGCGAGAGGGAGAGAAAGAGAGAAAAACAATCTGTCAATCGGTAGGCGCAGCGAACATTCTCTGTTGCCATTTGCGTCGTCGTTGTCGTCGTCGTTATTTCATGTCGTGCCTACTCCTGCTCCGCATAGTTCCTCTTCTTCGTTCTGGTCTTACCCTGCGAACCCCGTTCTCATCAGTTCCTTTGTGCGGATAATTCTACGTGGGAGCGCCTCTCGATGACCTGGCGAACTCGTTGTAGAGACTTCCTTGGTCTGGATTTGCAAGTATATGTATGTAGAATTATGTACGCGTTGCATCGGATAACTTGTACCGCGTTGCCTGCATCGCATAGTTTGGGCCATCTAGCTTGCACCGCGCATCTTCCGCCACACGTGCGTGCTTCCGATAGCTCCCCATACCGCTTCAAGCCCCCCCACTTTTCAAAATGCTACTCCCCATTCGCCAACTTCAGTTCAAAGTTCAGCGAGGGCCTCTGGCGATCCCAGAGATCCCCCTGTGATCCCCCCCCGGCCCCCCCAAACCGCGGAACCCCGGGACATCACAAGACGCCGAAGACTCTTCGAACCTGCGCGTGCGCGAGCTCAGTGCCCTCGCCCTTGAAGAGGATGAGGACCCTTTTGTGCGTGTTCAGGAGGCGGGATCTGGCGACTCGGCCTAAGTTTTCCGTTGCAGGCTGGTGTCTCCCACCGCCGCCAAACGTCCTGCTTTTGGTGGACTCGAGCTGTTGAGCTCAACAAAAAAAACGAACCTCCTAACGCATAACGGAACTTTGTCAGATCCCCCAGGAGGCCATCCAGAGCATTTGGTCAAGACCTTGGACCGTCCAGCCTCGTGCTTCCCCTCCTCGCCTGCTCCCTCCTTCCTCCCCTCCCCTCGTATGCAACCCCTGGGATGTCATATTCTGTTTTCGCCCTGGTCCGAAATCCGGCGTAAAACAGCTTGATCCCGCTTACTCCGGCTCAATCCTGCTTAATCCCGTTTTTTTTGCTTAATCCTGCTTAGTCCGAGGCCCACCCCGGCGTAACAGCTCCCAAATGGGAGGCTTTATCCTCCTTAATCTTTCCGACGAAAATCTCCCAGTTGTTGCCTGCTAACCTCTCCTCGATTCTTCCAGGTCTCCCATCCAATGGCCTGCCAGAGTGCTTCAGAACCCGAAGAGCCACCCAGAACTTCCTGGAGGACCCTGTAGAGCCTTCAAGAAACCTCCCTCCTCACTGCTCCCTCAAGTGACACCTCCCGAAACTTCTGACAGTGCAGAAGGCTTCCCGAAACCAGCCGTTGCAGCCAAAAGCCATGCGACGAAGCGGAGGAAGAGGGACAGTGATGATTCTGATGATGATGATGTTGAGGAGGAGGAGGAGGAGGAGGAGGAGGAGGAGGGGGAGGAAGGGGGGGGAGAAGGAGCTGAAAGGGGAGGAGGAGGCAGAAGACGATGACGAGCAGGATGATGAGCAAGAAGAGGGGGAGGACGAGGAACCTCAGGATGAGGAGGAGTACGAAGGGATGATTCTGGTGACGATGATGTCGCCAGTGATCACGAATCTGATGATGACGATGATGATGCTGCTGATGATTATGATTTTGGTGATGAACATGATGGTAGCCACGACGATGACGATGATGACGCTGATGACGACGATGATGATGATGATGATGATGATGATCACGATCATAATGATGATGGTAGTTATGACTATGATGCTTATGATGAAGCTGATGCTGCGGCTGATAAGTATGATGTTGTTCATGGTGTTGTTGATGACGCGTATAAGGATGCCGATGATGATGATGATGATGATGATGATGATGATGATGATGATGATGCTGATGCTGATGATGGTGATCATCATGATGATGCTGATGATGATTGTGATGATGATTGTGATGCTGATGATATTGACGTTGCTGCTGCTGCGGCTGATGATGCTGATGATGATGATGACGATGATGGCGAACACGACGACGATACTGATGATCGTGTTGACCAGATGCTTGTACGATGGGATGGTGATGGTGATGGTAATGGCGATGGTGATGATGCTGATGATGATGCTGATTATGCTGATGATGGTGATGATGCTGATGATGCTGTTGATGACGATGATGGTGACGACGATGATGATTCCGCTAGTGATGACGACGATGATTGCGATTAGATACTCCCGATGGTGATGCTGTTGATGATAATGATGATGGTGATGATGGCGCCGATGACGATGACGACGACGATGACGATGCTGCTGCTGATATGCTGATCATGCTGATGACGATGACCAGGATGCTGATGCTGCTGATGATACTGGTGATGTTGATGCTGATGCTGATTCTGATGCTGCTAATGATGCTGATGCCGCTGATGCTGTTGATGATTAAGAATGATGATGGTGATACTGCTGATAAAGCTGATGATGCTGATGATGCTGATGATGATGCTGATGATGCTGATGCTGATGATGACGATGATGATGCTGATGATGCTGATGATGCTGATTATGATGCTGATGACGATGATGATGCTGCTGCTGATGACGATGGCGCCTGTGATAACAATAAGAATAATCATGCTATGAATGATGATGATGATGAGGATGCTGATGATGATGTTGATGCTGATGTTGAGTACGATGATGATGCTGACGATGATGACGATGATGCTGATGCTGCTGCTGATGATGATAATGATGATGATGATGATGATGATGATGATGAGGTTGATGATGCTGATGATGACGATGATGGTGATGCTGATGGTGATGGTGATGCTGACGGTGATGGTTCTGATGCTGGTACTGAGGATGCTGATGCTGTTGGTGCTGATGATGGTGGTGCTGCTGCTGATGATGATCATGACGATGCTGATGACGATGCTGATGATGCTGCTGATGCTGATGCTGATGACGATGATGATGCTGATGCTGATGCTGATGCTGATGCTGATGATGATGATGATGATGATGACGATGACGATGATGATGATGATGATGATGATGATGATGATGATGATGATGATGATGATGATGATGATGATGATGATGATGATGATGATGATGATGATGATGATGATGATGATGATGATGATGATGATGATGATGATGATGATGATGATGATGATGATGATGATGATGATGATGATGATGATGATGATGATGATGATGATGATGATGATGATGATGATGATGAGGAGGAGGAGGAGGAGGAGGAGGAGGAGGAGGAGGAGGAGGAGGATGAAGACGAGGAGGCGGAGGGGGATTGAGAGGGGATGAGGACTTCCCAGTCCTCCGCGTCCTCCTCCTCTTGCTACTCCCCCCCATTTTCTCTCCCCCCCCTCTGTCTCTTGCTCGATTGATCCCTCTCCCTCCTCTCGCCCTCCCTTCCTCTGCCTAACCCTCGCCCTCTTCCTCTTCCTCCCCCCGCCGCCCAGCGTGCTTTCCGCAGGATTCGCTACGGCCGCCTCATTCTCCACAATCGCCGGTTGGGCACGCCGACTCGAGCAGCCCCTTCTTCGGAGGCTGCCTGAAGACGGCGCTGGCTGGCGATCGATCCAGGCAGCGCCGCTGGAGGAGGGGAGGGGGGGAGAGGGCCCAGCCCTCCATGCTTGACTTCTCGAAGACGCCTGTGGCGAACCACTGCTGCCTATGTACGCCTATGTGGCTACACGCTGGGCCAACGCCTGGCCAATCTATCGGGCTGTGTGTTTTCCCCGCCGTTGTGGAAGCACTTTGGGGAGCACTTCGGAGAGTAAGAGAGGGAGGCGGAGGAGAGTGAGGATAAGGAGGACGAGGAGGAGGAGCCTTGCGATCTCCTTGGGGCCTCTTGGGGGTCTTCGAGTGGCCTCTTGGGGGGGAGCCCTGGGGCCTCTTTCGGGCCCCCTTGAGGGTCTCAGGGACGCTCTTCTCTTGGCCCGTCTCACACCTTCGGCGGCCGTCTTGGGTGGCCCTTCAGGGTCGTTTTGTAGAACTCGTACACCGTACTGGGGCTCTCTTCGGGCAGTCGTGGAGCCCTTTGGGCTACCGTGGGGGCATGATGGCCTGTCTTCAGGGCCTTTGGGAGACTTCTCTAGCCTCCTAGGCGCCACCGCTGGCCTCCTAGGCGCCACCTTGTTGGCTGCCGAAAACCAGAAACGTCGAAAACGCATCAACGTATCACATTCCAGGTTATTTGATGGTGTTTGCCTTTTCCCGGGTGCGTGTTGGGCCGCCTTGAGGCCGTCTTGGAGCTTTCTATCTCCGCCTTGGGCCATCTTGGAGCCATCCTGGCCTTTTAGAGGCCATCTGGTGCCGCCTTGAAAGTCAGGGTCGGCGGGTTGAGTGGGAGTCCATGGTGTACCTGTTCGAGGCGTTCAAACGGTTAGCATCTGGCGCGCCAGCAACCTCACTTGCAAGCAGCCTAGGGCGGCAGACCTAGCGACTTTACGCCCATGATGAGCCGAACCTAAATGGCACGGCGGCGGGATCGCATCCCGCCACCACGCCTTGGTTGTGGGTCAGCGGCACGTTGGGTGCCACTCGAGGTCTCCTCGGATGCCAATCGGGTGCCTCTTGGGAGCCTATTCGGGGCCCTCTTTGGGGCCTCTTCGAGGCTTCTTTGGGAGTCTCTAGGGGCCTCTTAGTCTTAGAGGGTCATGGGGGTCCTGTTGGGCGCGTCTTTGGGGCCTCTTTGCGGTCTCGGGGGTCGTCTTGGCATGAAGGGGGCTCCCAGGCGGCGCTTTCGGGGCGCCCACTCTCCAGGCCTGCGCTCATTGACCGACGTCTAGCTTTTCAATAACCGTGGGGCTCGGGAGAAGTCGTGCGACGAACCTCAGGCGCGCCACGAATTCACGGACATCGATGGTCTAGGTTTGCAGAACACTGACAACACGGCTCGAGGGAGGTTTCGAGGGGGGAGGGGGAGGGAGTTCCCAGGGTCATGGCGGCCTCGAGCAGGAGGAGGAGGACGCGGTTGCGGAGAAGGAGTGGGATGATGCCGACATTTCGTTAATGGCCGTCGGCCCATCCCGCCACCGTGACTCGGTTGTGGGTGTGAAGCCTATTGGATGTTCGCTGGGGCCTCGTGGGGGGCCTCCCAGGGGCTTCTTGGAGGCGGTTTGGAGGCTCCTTGGGGGCCGTTTGGGGGCCTCTTGGGGCCTCTGTTGGGCATCTTTTGGGCCTCCTGAGGCCTCTTGGGTGCTTCTTGGGGCCTCCTGGGCGCCCCTGGGCGCCTCTTGGGGGCCTCGTGGGGTGGAAAGGTAGGATGCTCGGTGTGTGTTCCCGCTCTTGTGCCCCTTTTTGGGCCATCTTGGGGCCTTCTTGGGTCGTCTTTGGCGCCACTTGCGCCGTCTTGGGGCGCTCTTAGGCCGTCTCGGGGCCCTCTTGGGGGCCTCTTTGGGCCTTTTGGGGTGGTCTTGGGGGCCTCTTGGAGCGTCGGGAAGCCGAAACGGCGAGAACGCCAACATCTTGAATACCTTGGGCAAATTACAGATTGTTGTCTCTTGGTGCCCACTGGTGAGGCCTCTTGCAGGCCTCTTGGGGCGCAATGGGCGCCTCTTGGGCCGTCTGGGGGTCATCTTGAGCATCTTGGAGCGATCATTCGGCGACTTGGTGTCCTCTTGGACCGTCGTCGGAGACTCTTGAGGCCCGTTTGGCAAGTTTGGGGGCCTTCTTGGGCTCGAGAGATTCACGCGCCACCACGCGGGGAAGACCAGGGGGTTCGTGACAAACCCCGCGATATTTCGGAAGTTGGGGTCTGTCCCCACTTCTCAGCACTGAGGACTGAGGCTCCAGTGATTAGGCAGAATACTGGAGGACACGCCCACTCCGTGCCCAGAGGCGCGGTGGCGGATTATGAGTCTGCTGCCGATGGCTGTTGTGGAATTGGTGATACCTCACTTTACAGTCGACCAGCTTCTCAAGGATGCGCAATTTTCCAAAGTTGCCCTTGCATCCTTCCCCCACAGCCCATCCTTGGCCGCTTTCGCTTGCCGCGCCGCATAGTGTCGACATGGCCTTCCAAGGCCTCTGCATCCTCATCATGCGTCCTTCTTATACGGGTATGTTTTCTCTTCGTCTCCTGCGGTGTTGTGGTCTCTGCAGCTTCTCGGCCCATTCGCTCCCTTCCGCCGCCACCCGTGGGCGCTTTATGTAGACGCCTGTCCAGGCGGCCACTCTCCGGTGAGAGGGAGCGGGTGAGGTTCTCCCCCGGAGCATCGTGGCCGCGCGCTACGAGCGGCTCTTTGGCCAGCCCTCCCCCATGATTTGCGGAGCTCGGAGCCCCCGCTGTTGGGCCTCCAGACAGCTCTGGCTCGGCCTGCCCCGCCGTCTGCCTAGGGCTGGTGGTCGGCGTGAGCAAAAGGGCTACGCCTATGCTGCACACTTCGATTGTGGCGCTCCTTGGCGTTACAGCCTTCCGATTCCTCTGCGGCTGCTGATGCATCGAGGCCCCTGTGCCCCGCCGGTGGGGGCGTATGCTCTTCGCCCGCGCGCGCACGAGGCGACCAGCGCCCTTGGGAGGGAGCGGTCTCGGCGCGCGACGCGCCCTTAGGTTGAGGATCGCGCTCGGGCCCTGGCTCGTCACTCGCCCCCTGCGGCTCATCGGGGCTGGGCGAGTCCACGTGCGCTGTCGGGCATGACGGCCGCTTCCACCGGTATGAGAAAGGCTGGTCGCGCCCCCCACTGGCCAACCTGGCCCGACCTCTACCCGTGAAGGGCGCCTTCGACCACCGGGTACGACCGCGGGCTCCTGGGCGACGGCGGGGCAGGCTGCGCAGCGATCCCCCGAGCCTCTCGGCCCTGGGGCATACTGCTGCGCTGCCCTCGGTAATCCGCTTGGTCGATGACCTCAGCCCCGCGGGGGCGGATGGCTTCCAAAGGTTGACCGGTCCATACTAGGTGGTCGGCTCTGCTCCTTCTCGGCGCGGCCTCCCGCCCGATGGGCGCCGCTGCAGCAGCGTTGGCTGTCGACTTAATCGGAGGGACAGAACCAGAAGCCGTGCGCCCGCTGACAGACGGGGGCGCCGAGGGGGTGGTGCTTTTCGGGGCCGTGCGCGGCCGCTCCTACTGGCCGCGCCCGCGGGGGTCTGCGCCCCTCGCGACGGCTGCGCCGCGATCCGCGGGGGGGCCCTCGACAGCGCCCCTGCGGGCGGAGCGGGCGATCCCCTGCCGTTCAGCGGGCGAGGGGGAGGAGGACGTCGAGGACGGCGGCGCCCTTTTTCCTCTGAGCCCCCTCCCCTCGCCGAGATGCCCCTCCTTGCTTGCCTTGGGGCAGGGGGGGGGGCGGGGGTGCGAAAACGGCGGGCGCCCCCGCTGGAGTCTTGGACGAGGGTGCGGCGATGAGTCGCGCCGACGGGCAGTTGGAGATCCGTCGCCCGCTGGCTGCCTGAGCGCACCAGCATGCGGTCCCGAGCCAGCCGAGGACGCGCACGAGCTCCGCACGCTGTCGTAAGAACCCACGGTGCCACGGCGGTGATCTGGTCCTCGCGAGGGCCGTCGCGCCGACCGCGGCGCTGGGGGCTATGGCACGGCGGGAGCCCGCCGCAGGGCAACGGCTGCGGGGCCGCGCTTGAGCCAAAATGGTTTGAGCCAAACTGGCGATGGAGGAGGAGGAGGGCAGGCACGAGGGCAGGAGGGCAGGAGGAGGAGGAGGAGGAGGAGGAGGAGGATGAGGAGGAGGAGGAGGCGGGTGAGGGAGGAAGAGGCGGATGATGATGAACGAGGAGCAGGAGGAGAGGCGGAGGAGGAAAGAAGGAGGAGGCGCGGGAGGATGAGGATGAGGACGAAGAAGACGGGGATGATTAGAGGAGAGGATAGGAGAGGAAAGGCGAGGAGAGGAAAGGAGAGGAGAAAAGGAGGAGGCGGAGGAGTGTGATCAGAAGGAACGAGGTGGAAAAGGAATGCAAGGAAGGGGGGGTGGAGGGGGATCGAGGAGGAGCAGGAGGAAATAGGCGGAGGAGGAGCAGAGGACATGAGAAGGAGGAGCAGGAGGAGCGAGTAGGAGGAAGTGCTGATGATGGTCCTGATGATGGTCCTGATGCTAATGGCGCAGATGAAAACAATGCTGACGGTGATGATGATGATGATGATGATGATGATGATGATGACGATGAACATGATGATGATGATGATGATGGTGCTGATGTTGATGCTGATGCTGATCATGCTGATAGTGATGATGATGATGGTGATGCTGATGATGATGATGCTGATGATGATGCTGATGTTGGTCATGGTGGTGCTGACGGTTATGACTATGTTGATGGCGACGGCGATACCAAAGATGATTTTGATGATGGTGATGTTGATGATGATGGTGGTGATGATGATGATGACGATGACGATTCTGCTGATGACGATGACGATGCCGATGACTCTGACGGCGATATCGATAGTGATGGTGATGGTGGTGGTGATGATGATGCTGGTGGTGATGATGGCAATGATGATGCATGATGATGGTGGTGGTGGTGATGATGCTGACGGGTGGTGGTGATGATGGTGGTGGTGGCGGCGGCCACGGCCGCGACCGCGACCAGGAGAACGTATGATGCTGCTGCCGACTGAGGATGTTGATGATGACGATGCTGATGATGATGATGATGATGCTGCTGATGATGATGACGACGATTGTGATGATGATGATGACGATGATGATGGTGAGGATGAGGATGAGGATGAGGATGAGGACGAAGATGAGGACGATATGAATGTTGATGATGATGCTGATGATGATGATGATGACGATGTTGTTGGTGATGATGCTGCTGCTGATGGTGATGATAAAGATGATGATGCGGCTGCTGATGATGATGGTTATGGTGATGATGCTGATGATGACGATGACGATGGCAACGACGACGACGACGACGACGATGATGATGATGATGGTGATGATGATGATGATGGTGATGATGATGATGATGATGATGATGGTACTGCTAGTGGTGATGATGATTATGATGACGATGATGATGATGGTGGTGGTGATGATGATGGTGATCAGGATGATGATGGTCATGATGATGATGATGATGATGATGATGATGATGATGATGATGTTGATGATGTTGATGATGTTGATGATGCCGATGCTGATGATGACGATGATGATGATGATGAGGAGGAGGAACAGGGGGAGGAGGCTCTCGACGACCCCCCGTCACACAGGCTACGCGACCAGGGCTGCGCGGCCAGTCCGAGGGTACTGAGCATCTGAGCGTCCGCGCCTCGGGCTGGACGGCCTCGCCGTGTGCGCTGGTTCGAGAGGCAGTTCACCAGGCAGCGCTGCGAAGCACTCAGCGCCCTGGTGGTATCGAGGACTCCTGTGGCCCGCCACCGCTAGGATCGGAGACGCTTGCGCATCGGAGGTTGATAGACCTCCTGCCCTGACACGTTGATTAAGGAATTTACCGTTTTCGGTTCGCGAGAGGGCGTCGCGGCCGTCATCTTTGCGGGTCCAGGTCTGTCGTTTTCGGTCCTAGGCCGTTTCCACTAAGGGGAGGTTTACTAAAGGGAGTTCTGTCCACCGCCGAGCGCGCCCGCCACCGCCACCTTCTGCCTTTTGCAAGCGCCCATGCTGCCAGCCGTTGGGCCAAGGTCTGGTCAGGCAATGGGACGATGGGTTCTCCCAGCCGTTGCGGAACCCCTTGGGGGGACCTTGTTGGACAGAGAGAAGGGAGGATGGCAATGAGGAGAAGGATGATGATGATGCTGATGCTGATGATGATGATGATGATGATGCTGATGCTGATGCTGATGCTGATGCTGATGATGATGATGATGATGATGATGATGATGATGATGATGATGATGATGATGATCATGAGGAAGCAGAGAACGACTAGGAAGAGGAGATGGAGGAGGGACAGGAGGAGGAGGAGGAGGAGGACCAGTGCAAACACAAAACGCATCAACTATGTTGCAATAAGCCCTCCCTCCAAGTTCCCTTTTTATGGGTCCCTACGCGAGTTTATTCCCATGAGAAGATAACCGTCTGAGAATCCTGAATCGTGCATTCCTGGGATTTCAACGCCACGGATCGACGTGTATGTTGCGCCCTGACAGTCCAAAACCGTGTCAAACACTATTCCTCGGACATCAACTCCGCGAATAAACGCAACTTTTGCGCCCAGACAAATCTAATCTAACTCGTGCCAATATATTTCTTTTGTGACTTCAACTATACGAATGCGCGCGGCGTCAAGGCGAGAGCCACATTTTGAAAAGGAACCGCCCTTCAATGTTTTAAGCCAGGCGCGCGCGGCGCTAAGGCAATACCAACATTTTGAAAATGGCCCGTCCTCCATCCGTGAAACTGGTGCAAACTTTGAAGGCGAATGCGCGTGGCGCTCAGGCGAGCGCCACATTTTGAAAACGACCTGTCCTGCATCGTTGAATCTATTGCAGATTTTCAGCTTAGGGGCTCTGGCTTGTCTTCCAAGCAACGGCCTGCGGGCCGCTCTGATCGCCATGTGGCCGCCGTCGCCGCCTCGTCGCCTCCCGTCGCCTGGGCCTGCCGGCCGCTCTGGCCGCAATGTGGCCGCCCTCTCCGCCTCGTCGCCGCCCGCCGCCTGGGCCTGCGGGCCGCTCTGGCCGCCATGTGGCCGCCGTCGCCGCCGCGTCGCCGCCAGCCCCCTCGTCGCCCTTCGCACGTGCCCTGCGTCGCGCGCGCGCCCAGCAGGAATTGTTGACGTTCCGCGTATCCCCACCAGCTGACCAGTTCGCTGAGGACAAGTTCGCTGAGGAAAAGGTCGCTGAGGACAACTCCGCTGAGGACAAGTTTGCTGAGGGCCACGTTTCGGCACGCGGGCTTGGCCGTCCTTGACTTCTGAGCGTGCTGCTTGCTCGTCGCTTTTGGTTCTGGCCGCGGCAGTTAGGCTTGCTTGACCCTTGTGACGGCGCGCGGCTCTCCCGCTTGCGCTCGCGAGCAAGAAGTATCCCCACCAGCCCTTGCAGACGCGATGCCCAGGGGAGTTGAGGTGATCAGGGAAGCGGGGGATCACGCAGATCAAACAAGGCAAGGGGAAAGCCGGTGATACCCCAAGATAAGAGCGTCGTCGTTCATGGAGGAGGAGGAGGGGGAGGAGGAAAATCAATAGGGTGAGGACGAGGACGACGAGGAGAAGGAGAAGGAGGAGAAGGGAGAGAAGGACGAGGAGGTGGAGGATGGGGGGTGGGAGGAGGGAGGAGAGACAAGCTAGGTGCGCTCGCGTCATATATGACATCCTACCCCTCCCTCCCATCCCTTACCATGGCGCAGATCCCTTCTCTACTCGCACAGTCGGATGTCAAGCAGGGCGATGATCCCGAAAGGGTACGCGATGCATTGTAGAGCACGGCGTGGCACGGCGTAGAAGAGCACCGCGAAGCGTAGTATCAACCTGGCATTGCATTGCATGCCGTGGCATGGCACGGGAAATGACACCAACGCTGCAGCGGGAGCGCGAGTCGAAACGAGCAGAAACGCGGAAATGAGGCCAGTGCTGCAGCGGGAACACAATTCGGAACGAGCGGAAACACGGAAATGAGGCCAGCGCTGCAGCGAGAGCACGATTCGGAACGAGCGGGGCCCGAAAATGAGGCCGGCGCCTCAGCGAGAGCAGCATTTTGGGAAATATGCAGGCGAAAACCTAACACCGGGGAGGGCTTCCCGGCCGCCAGAAATTCAACATTCCCAAAAGGAAAAATTGTATTGGAATGACATTTTTTCGGCGCGGTGCCGGCCGGAACCGGCTCCGGACCCGGCCCGGGCCAGGAGGGCCACGCGTGGCTCAACGCCGACAGCGGCCCATCCACGCCACAACAACAAGCGGCCGACATCCTACGTGGCCTTTCAGCATTGGCAGGGATCGTAGCAGTGCGAATACCATCGCGATCATCAAATGCAGCGTAAATTGCAGCGGCCTAAGAACATATCCAGCGACGCACATCATAGGCGCACATCATGTATAGATTGAGTGACAAGTACGAACGCCCATCAACTAGAGGCAAGCGCGCCACTAATTGCTGTTAGCGTGCCCCCTGGAGCAGGGGTCGACGCGACATTGGCTCAATTTGAGATGGCCAGGTTGGAGGCTTGACCCGCTGGATTCGACGCCCCCAGCTTCTGGATCTGAACCGCGATCGTATTTCGCGCTCATCAAGAAAAGGGGCCGTCCGAGAATTGCAGATGCTACGGCTGCGGAACCGCAGAATGCCCTGGGCCCATGTGCGGTGCGATGCGCTACTTGGGCGCATGCAATCATTCGGCCACCTTGTTGACGATTTCCCGGGGGCATCGGTGGGGCGTTTTGGCGGGGGTGCGGCTGCGCGTAGCAGTTCGCCAACTTCGAAACTATGCATTTCTTGGCGGCAGTGGTGCCGAGATGAACGCTGGCCACAACTCATGGTCAGACAGCCCAACTGGAGGCGCGGTCCAGCTCGCAGGCCAGGCGCCCGGCAGCCCGGCAGCTGGCGGCGCAGACTGGACCTGGGCACCACCGACTTACCCAGTGCCTCCTACTACCACGTGGCCAAGATGGCCAGGTTGAACCCACCGCGCCATTCGACTCCGGCACGGGCGCAGACGCTGAAATATCAGACGGATCGATCAATCAGACAGACTTGCACATTGACTGGCAATCATGCGGCTACATCTTATGTTCGGCCACGCGTCATGCCGGAGGGGGGGTTGTGGGGGTCGCGGAAAAGTAAGCGCGTCGCGCGCGAATGCCGCGGCGCCCGCCCTGCAGTGGCGGGTGAGGGCGAGGGTCGGCTCAGGCGCCTGCAGTCCGCGAGGCGCTGAAGAAGCCCGCCGCAGGCGCTTAATTCTTATGCCCCATGCGACGGGCCCGCCACAGGCGCCGATTTTCGGTCGACCAATGGATGGGTCGCGGGCGGGTCGCGGGTGGGTCGCGGGCCAGGTGGCGGGCGGGTCGCGGGCGGGTCGCGGGCGGTCTGCGGGGCGGGTCGCGGGCCCGCGCCGGGCCTAGGTGGGGGCGACGTCGAACCGCAACATCCAGCAACGTTGTTGTTGCGCCGCGTCGCAAAACCCCGTTTCAGCCACGTTCCCCGGGGCGTTGAATGACCGTTCGGCCTCCTCAACAGACAGATGAACAAACGCACAAACAAAAACGTCGACAACAACCGCGCGCATCCGCATGGCGGGATCCCACTTCAGCCGCGCACCCGCGGGCAGCGAATGACCGTTCGGCCCCCGCGCTCTGACGGCGAGCCCGCCGCGGGCGCCGACTTATATAGTATCAACGTGGGTGGGTCGCTGGGTGGGTCGCGGGGCGGGTCGCGGGCGGGTCGCGGGCGGGTCGCGGGTGTTTGTCGCGGGTGGGTCGCGGGCCAGGTGGCGGGCGGGTCGCGGGCGGGTCGCGGGCGGGTCGCCGGCGGTTCGCGGGCGGGTCGCGGGGCGGGTCGCGCGCGGGTCGCGGGGCCGCAGGGGAGGCGACGCCGGGCGGCGACGACGGCGACAAGCAGACAATTACAACGTGCATCCGCATCGCGGAAGCTCACTTCAGCCACCCGCCAAGGGGCAGCGAGTGACCGTTCGGCCTCCTCGCTCACATCCTATTATGTATGTATGCATGTATATATATGTATATATATACACATATATCGCGTGCGTATATATATATATGCATCAACATATCTATATATACATATATATATGTGTATATTCACACTAACATGTATAGATATACGCACGCATTTTTAGATGCATATATATATATATATATATATATATATATATATATATATAATATTCACACAACAGATGCGCGCTGCGCGCCAAAGGGCCGACAAGGGTAAAGGCGTGCATTTGAGGAGCTTGCGCGGCAAAGGCATCGCAGGATGTATTGCATCTTTGCCCGGCGACGAGCGCGACGAAACTTCTTCTGGGAGTCGAGGCGCGCGCAGAGGACGTCGTTCCATTCGACCGAGGAATGGCCGATGGCTGAACCCCATTGGTAGGACTGGCCGCCGCGCGCCGCGCGACGCGCGCACTCTGCGTCGCAGTGCAGCGCGGGGAGCGGCGCGGGAGATGGGGATTCTGGAGCGTTTTCTGCTTCGGCTGACCCCTTGCAGAAGAACAAACCGGTTTTTGTTGCGTTGCTTCCTTTTTACAGCGATGCTTTTGACAGGGTTGAGCAATTTACGCGGGTCTTAACGGCTCTCTTGTGCAATGCTTTCATATGCCCGCAGCGGTCGAACATTGGATTGGGTTTGGCGATTTCCCTCGGAAGCGCGGCGCCGGGATGGTGCGCGGCGACGCGATGAAGGTCGCCGAAAAGACGGCGCAGGGATGCTCGCCGCTTGCTCCACCGTCGCCCCCAGCATCGACCGTGCCAGCCACTCGAGAGGAGATC